ATGTTGATGCAAAAATACTCAGTAAAATACTGGCAAACCGAATCCAAGAACACATCAAAAACATCATCCATCATGACCAAGTAGGCTTCATCCCAGATATGCAGGGCTTTTTCAACATACAAAAATCTGTCAATGTAATCCCCATATAAACAAACTGAAAGAAGAAAACCACATGATCATCTCGGTCCTGCTCTTTTCAACACGAAAGACTTACACCTTCTGTGGTGGTTTGAATGAGAACGGCCCTCATAGGTTCATGATTGACATGCTTAGTACCCAGCTGGTGAACTGGGAAGGATTAGAAGGCGTGGCCTTGCTGAAGGAGGTGTGCCACTAGGGGTGGGCTCTGAGGTTTCCAAAGGCCACACCAGGCCTACCCTCTCTGTCTGCTGCTCTCAGCTACTGCTCTGATGGCATGCTTGTCTGCTTCCTGCCATGATGGACTAAGCCTCTGAAACTGTAAGCGAGTCCCAGAATGAAATGTCTCTTCGCAGCAACAGAACAGCACAAGATGCCATCAGCCCGCTCTTGCGTTCATCTTCCCTTCCGTCAGTGGAACTATTTCTTCTCCACATCTGGACAGGAACCACAGCATCAACCTCTGCTGTCCTGGCCCTTCTGCCTGGCCTTGTTTCCCAAACTCTCCACTTCTCTCCACATAGCATGCTTTCCAATGGCCTGTTCTCCAGGGACTACTATTTCTCTCATTCTCCTGTGTAGTTTACTATCTACTTTCCTCAGCTCCCAGCTCACGTGTCTACTGACATTGTTTGAGCCTTTTCTCTCTGTTACAGATTTCAATTTTGTAGAGTTTGTAGTACACATAGAGGGCTCCGGGTAGAATTCCTCTGTTTCCTGAGTTGACTCTAGATTTCTCTTTAGCTGTGTTCTTTCCCTTTATTCTTCTCCTTCTCTCAGAGTCTACACAAGAGTACCCCTTTGTTCTGAATTATCTCTTTTATTTATTACTATTATTTGCAGTCCTGGAGATGGAATCCAGAGCCTTATATATGCTGCACAATGCTCTATCACTGGACCACACCCCAACTTCTACAGGGTCTTTTAAATGAGGAAGGAGCAGGATTGACCTAGGGTGGCCCCAAATTAGATGCTGTTCAGAACCATCTTCTACCAAAGCTTCTCCCAGGCTCTACCTGGGAGTTAAGTTTCTGGTATTAGCTTATACTGCAGTCATTCACAACAAATGCCCGACTCAGGCCAGCAGTGGCCGAAGGTTCACTTGGACTATGAAGCTGCAAGAAACCCTAGGCAGGTTCTCATGACCCTCACCTCAGGCTCTGTTTTGCCATGGTTTGGGTCAGGCTGTGTGTCACTGGCAGTTTGAGACTCCAAATCTACCACACAGCAACACCTCAAGGACAGACAGTCAAGAAGTTCTTTCCCTGGTGGTTCAGGGAAGGAAGCCTCCAGGACGCTTCTTTCTTTCTCTCAGTAATGTGTGTGGGTGTTTTCCCCACAAGGACGTCTGTGCACCACACGTACATAAGCCTGGTGCCTGCCCTTGGAGGCCAGGAGAGGGGGCTGGAGCTGCTGGGACAGTTGTGAATCAAACTGTCCTTGGGAAGAACAGTGCTCTTAATCACTGAGCAGTGTATCTCTCCAGCTTCGCCTCCAGAAGATTTCTGAGCAACTAAGGCAAGGAAATGGGCTATAGAACGTTTCCTCTTAGCTGAGCCAATCATCTGCTGGGAGTTTAAGGCACTGACTGCCTGGGCAGGCCAGTGTATCTGCTGGTGACTGTGCACTTGGCCCACTTGGGGAGGGAGGGAGGGAGGGAGGGAGGGAGGGAGGGAGGGAGGGAGGGAGGGAGGGGGAGGACAGCGCCACTGGTCTAAAGAAAACGTGTGCAGCTCCACAGCAACTTTCTTCTCCTCTCCTTCCTGATTTCATCCTGAGAGTACGGATCTTAGAGAGCTGGGACACTCGGTCCTATTCCTCCCCAGATGCTCCAGTGCCCCTCTTACAAGGCTCCAGATGAACCACAGACCCCATTCTAAGCAAATGCTCACTCTCCAACAGCATTCCTTAAAGTCACTCCTGCTCCACAAGAGCCTGGCTTTTCGGGACTACACTGACTGCAGCTCTTCTTCTCCATCTGGCTGGCATCCTCTTTGGACTATGGCTGCTCTCAGATTCACTGAAGAAGAGATCTTGTTGCTGGCTTTTCACTCTTTTTGTTCATTTTAGTGAGTTTCAAGGAAGAATTAGAATGAATATGTCTTTGGTTACCCAGCATTTCCAGAAGGCCTGAGGTCCACTCCCAAGGCCATCTGTAGGGAGCTTTCCAAGTCCTGCACAAAGAACTGGTTCACAGTTCACATTCTGAAAGCACAACTGTGTGCTGGGCACACAATGCCTCATTCTCCAAGCCCGATGCTGGCAACCCACTTGAGCACAGAGCAGCCCAGTAAGCAGCAGCAAGGGTACATACAGCTCTCAAAGCCTCCTGTAGCTGTTCTCCGTGACTGCTCTCCTCAGGGCCAGCCAGTTAGCAAACTACAGGACAGTCAGCCAAGACCAGCTTTGTTCTTAGTTTTGTTGCATGTTTTTTGTTTTTGTTTGAGAAAGGGTCTCACTCTACAGACCAGGCTAGCCAAGAACTCACTATCTTGTCCAGGCTGGCCTTGATCTTATAGGAATCCTCTTGCCTCAGTCCTCTGTGATGGGACTACAGGTATAAATTACCATATCTAGCTTCAGGACCAGTCTGTCAGTCTGTCTGTCTGTCTGTCTGGTCTCGGTCTCTCTCTCTCTCTCTCTCTCTCTCTCTCTCTCTCTCTCTCTCTCTCTTCTAGGATCAGATCTTAAAACTCTTCTGAGAAGGGGGAAAGAGGAACTCAGACACCACAATCAAGCATAAAGACTGTAGTTGTTGCCATGTATAAGGATTTCTGACTCCAGTAATAACTGGCCACACATTTGAATGGCCACTGTTGGGCCTGAGTTCAGCAAGGATCATGAGGCTAGTAGGTGAACACCTCACTCCAGTTCGGATTGGGTCTTTGCCAGAGACCCCACTTAGCCCAAAGGAAAGAGAGAAAGAAAAATCCTCTTCAAAGAACAAGAAGCAGAAAAGAGCCAGGCATGGTGATGCACATCAACAGTCCCAATGTTCAGGGGGCAAAAGTGGGAAGAACTTAATCCCAGATCTGCCTGGGTTAGCTGGCAAGATCTGGCTTACAAAACAAAAACAGGGCCCAGAGAGAGTTCAGTGGGTAGGGCACCTGCTGCTGCCAAGCTTGACAACAGGAGTTCAGAGTTCAATCTCTGCACTCACACAGTGGAAGGAGAGAACCTACTCCCATAAACAGTCTCTTGACTTCCACATGTGCACCGTGGCACACGTATACCCACACTCACACAAGACAAATAAAGGTAAATCCAAAGCAGAATACACACATGATAACCAGAAGGAAGACAGGAGTTTTGTAAGCCACTGTGCACCTTTGCTTTCCCGATGGAACTTCCTCTCACACACAGGCTGCTTTCACAGGACTGTCTGTTCTTTCCTGTACAGTTTTACATTCTGCTTATGCCTTCTGCATTGATTTTTAAATTCTATTTTCAACAGAGTGATGTGTTTTGATTTATATTAGTGTCCCTATGCTCATTCCGTTCTCGTTTGTTTTCTTGGGGATCTCTCACTTTCCTGTCTGGGCTCACCCATCCCAGCTGGCCTGGCTCCTTAGGCCTGGACTCTTCTTGTGGAGCTGAGGCATGGAGGTATACAAGCATCTGCATTAGGCCATGGCCATGGACACTACTCTTTGCTCTTTTCACAGCTGCTACAAGATAGGAAAGAAGTACTGCTGTCCTGTCAGAAGTACCCAACTGTTCTGATGGATTCCATCAAAATATTTATTGATGGAATACTAGGGAGACACCTTCCAGTGATGCCAAGGCCTGGCTACTTAATGAACTAGCCCTGAGAAAGTCCATTTTACACTTTTGACACAGCTGAAGGACCAACCACTGCCAACTTCCCTTCACTGTCAGAGGATGGGCGACCTTGCCAGGCAGGACTAGGCTAAGAAGATACCATAAAGGGTCAGGCCTCAGAATGACTCACACAGGTCACAGTGGGCAGTAGACTCAGGGCTCAGCATCTTGTTTCCTGTTGGAGGGGATAAGTACTTACTCGAAGGGTCCCAGAGCTGGACACTGCTGTGCCTGGGACATCCTGGTATATTTCGCCCCTACGCTCCTGTACCCACATGGTTAATTCTGGACTTGATGTTTAGGACCTGCAGAATATATAGAAGCTGTCAAAAAAGGATGTAGCTTTATCTTACAGCTTCCTGAATTATTGCTTTTCTTTCTTTCTTTGGACAATGTCTCATGTAGTCCAGCCTGGTCTCAAATTCACTATATACTGGAGAATAGCCTTGAATTGCTGGTTCTCCAGCCTCAGCCTCTCCAGTGCTATTATTATAGGTGTGCACTACCATGCCTGGTTCTGTCAATCTTCTTTAGAGATGCCTGGTATATAGTGGAGGCAATATTCAGGTAGGAATGGCTTGCATCACCTAATAGTGGCTACCCTTTCCTGGGCATTTTATCATACTTTTTACTGCCATGTAGGACGTAGTTGGAGGTGGGCAGGCCTTTTCCGTCTCCATCTGACTTATTAGCAGAGAGTAACCACAGTTAAAGGCCTGTGTTGATGTCAAGACAGCTGGCAGATAAGGGAGACATAGCACTCAGAGCCAGGGCCTGTTTTAGGAAGGTCCCGTCCAGAACACAGTATGCCCACTTCCCAATGAAGGACAGACTTGGTCACAGCACACTCTAAGGCTTGAGACACCTAGGGAGTAGGCCAGATGCCACTCACATGACAGCACCAGGGCCTCTGATTACCAACCTCCCTCCCCAGTGCTGATTGCTCCTCCTCCCATCCCTCACTGTGGGAAAGTTCCGGTCATGAGTGGGCGAGAAGGTTCTCAATTCCAACTTCCTACACGGAGTTCTGGAACAGAGGACGCTCTGTGCTGGCTCCTGATGGGGTCTGTTTGGAGAATGAGCCCCGGAAACAGCAATCTGTTCCTAGTGCCAGCAATACCCTCACGCAGCCAGCTCTTCTTCACTATCTCCAGAACTGGTGGGCTGCACATGAGTACATGCTCGGGTGGCCATGCCTGTGTGACTATGCCAGCACGTGACCCTCCACAGAGGAGCCTGACATTGAGGGAACAGTGAACTGATGAGGATTAAGGACAACTTTAGTACCACCTTTGAGACCCTCTCACACCATCTCCATGTCTGCACAGGACACAGGATCCAGTGGTAACTGTAAGGTCAGGAAAGGAGCCACAGTACTGACCAGCAGGAACCCTGTGGCAATAGTCTCTGAAGTAGCCATTGTGTCTTAGGGTGGGTTGGGAAGGAAACAGCCAAAGTGATCAACACGATCTTTCCTGCTCTCTGGAAAACAGAGCAGTACCTGAAAATGCTGGGGACAAGAGCCATCCCTCAGGGAGAGCTGGTGAGCATCCTCAAGGCCCACTTGGTAAAACAGTTGAAGGAAGAGCTGCTCACCACTGACAACCCCCCACCCCCGCTGGCCAACCACTGCTCTATTCTGCCCTGGCTGTCACCACAGTGACCTTGGACCACCTCCTGATCAGTCCTCCTGTCTTCCGCTAGGACCACACATGACTCTCCCCTGACTCGGAACTTGCCCAGGGTCTCCCTAACTAGTTCTTATGCTTGCACAGAAAACACCAACCTCCTAACGAAAGTGCACAAATTGTCAGGAACAGAAAAACCCATATAAGTCAGCCTAGAAAAGACCCTGAGGCAAGCAGCAGTAAACAGCACCGGTGAGTACCAAGGTTAACCAGGATGCTTCTCAGAAATGGAAAAGAAAGTCATTTCTGGGCTTTCACACAATCCACCACAGAGCTCCAGTCACGCCTTCCCAGTCTCTGTTGATAGAGAAGGTACTGGTCAAGTATGACTGACCACAAACTAAAAGCTCATGTCTAGCTTCCCTAAGGATAAAACAACTCTAGCTCTAGGCCAGAACCAGGCTGGGTTTAGGGGTAGCCTGGCATGCTCATCTCCTTTGGAAGTAGCGACTGAAGACAGTCCTGCAGAGAAGACAGAGCTAATGGAGGAGGTGAGGCTGTCATGAAAGTAAACTTCTCGTGAGAAAATAATAGGAAGAGACGCATCTCTCCTGTAGCGTGTAGGACCGAGACAGGTGACATGAAGGATGCAAACAGAAAATGAAGACCACACACCCACCGCTGTGCTCCAACAGGTACCTCTTTGTACCACAGGTGCCCGGGGAGGCTGAGGCCATGCTGCCTTCTACCACCTCTGAGAAAGTCACTAAAGATACTGAACACTGGATAAACATGTCCTTACAACACACAGTCAACTCTTTCAGGAAACTCCTCTGACAGTCTTTTTTTCTGTGACATCTTCAGATAAGCAGAAGCTGAACTACAGCAAGTAACCCTGCCAACCAACAAGAAGGAACTGGAAAGGGCCATGAGAGCTGCCAGCCCCGGTTATGGAGCCTGCTCTACTCTCGGACTGCAGATCAGTGCTAACTAGGAGATAACCGGATTAAAGAGAACATTTGCATGGCCAAGTACTGCTGTTGGATAGAGACCTGTGAGCAGTTAGGAATGCTCAGAGCCCAAGAGGCCAAAGACTAAGAAACCAGCTGATCCCAGAAGAGAGAGGGGACCACTTGTGCTGCCCCCTGAGGCCCTGGCTTGTAGCTGACCTTGCACTGTGCTAGCCATATTAAAAAAAACAAAAAAAAGAATGGATGTGGAGGAGACTCCAACCTGGTAGAGTATGTATGGTGAGAGAGAAGGATGCTGTCCTGAACTTGGGGCCTACAGAAATCAATGCCATGGCCTGGCCCTCAGAATCAGGAAAGTACGCATGTAATAGTGTGACTAGAACAGCAGCAGCAAGGACAACCAAAGGTGGGACAAAGGTGAACACTGGTGGGCCTGAGAGTTCCAGGCTGAGACATTTGAGGAAGGCCAAAAATGAAGATGAATTTTAGATGTTTATTTTTTGGAGCAAGGTCTCATTCTGTAGTCCAGGCTGGCCTTGCTGATCCTCCTGCCTTAGTCTCTGGAGTACTAGGGTTACAGACATTTGTCACCATACCCAGTTAAATTCTTGGTTTTGATAAATAAATTCTATATTTTAAAGTATCCATTATGGAAGCTGAATAAATTCCAATTTATAGTTGGGGAATATAGTCAAAAATGGGCCCAAAAGGAGGAAAAATATGGCTCATTCCTAAAATTCTAGACAGAGTGCAAAGGTGGCAAAACTATGTTCAAACACAGTATAATTATAATAAATGCAAATGAACCGGTGGCCTAGCTAAGAATAAGGTCATAGGCAAGGTATCTGGGGACAGGATCCCACTATGCAGCCAGGGTGCCCTTAAGCTTACAGAGCTCCACCTGCCTCTGCTCGGGGTGCTGCAGTGAAAGGGGTGCACCAGCACACCCAGAGTCCGGCAGTGTTTTTAAAGATGCAGACCCAGCTGCAGACAGCTGCAGATAGCAATGGCGGAACTGTGACAGCCATAGCCTGGCGATGCCATAGCTGTCATCACAGAAGTCCACTCTACGGGGTTAGCATGACAAAACAGCCTGATCATACACATCTTTGGAACGTATGCTCCTTGTTAAATACTATGTGACTTCACAAAAGGACAAGGAATTCAGAGGGCCACGAGTAGAAAGACGCTGGGTGGCTCACTGGTGCTGGCAGGATCCCTCCTTTATACAGACAAGGGGACTCCAGAATTAGTCCATGGCCTCGCAGACAGAGAGTAAAGGGCCAGACTTCAAAAGAGAAGCGGGATCTACAACTGTGATTGGCAGGAGGCTGTGACCCAGCTAACCAGAACCCATCTAGTGGGTGCAGAGAATGCTGTTCTTAGGAAGCAAGACACTGCTTCTTTGAGCAGCTCATGGGGCATTTCTGAAACTGACCACATACCAGGGGACAAAGTGAGCTCCCAACAAATGTCAGAAGACTGACGCTACCCTACCAAGCTCCCTCCCAATTCAAAGACAAAAAGAGTGAACCGAGCCAAAAGAAGACAACAAATAAAGGCCTCCCAGTCAAGAAGCCAAGAGCCAACTGAGAAGACAGGGTCTGAGTCAGTCATCTGCTAGCATGGGGAAAGAGCCAAGTGAAAAAGCAGCATTGTACCCAAAGTAGCAGCAGCATCAGGCAGACTCAGCAGCCCTGGGAGTCCCTGAGAACTCAGCACAGGGCTCACAGGTATGAGGATCTCAGAGCTGGCAGGATCATCGCAGGCTGTGCCCAGATCCTGGTGTCTGTGCTGCCCGTGCTGAGTAAGCTCAGACTTCCTGTTGCCAGGAAACAGCTTCCTTGGACTTTT